TTGTTTCGACTGATTTTTAGAAAATTGCAGTGTCTAGCCAAAAGGGGCGAGACTCTTCCCCCTTTCATCCTCTTCTTCAATAAAATAGAAGAGAGAGATTGACAGAAAGAGAGACAAGAGCCCAAAAATTTGTTTGTCAAGCCAAAAAAGGGAGAGATTCTTCTTGTCATCGTCGTCTTCAGCAAAATAGAGAGAAAGAGGGAGTGCAAAAATCGGCAGGATAAGAGTCAGTACCATACTTGGGTCCCCGAGTCTAGATCTAAGCAGGTCGAAACCATTGTTCACTTCCACGGTTCAAATCACGAGATCTAGCCTTTTGTAGGTACGATCTTCTTCATTTCTTTTCTTCTTCTCTCTTTTTTCCTTCTTTGCCAGTGGCTGGAGTTGGGTCTTCATCGATCTTTCCTTTTTCTTCCTTCTTCGTCGGTGGTTGGTGCTGACTTTCAGATCTTCTTCTTCACTTTCTTACGGTGCTGGATCTTCATCGATCTGGCTCTCAGATCTTTCTTTTTCTCTCTCTTTAATGTGCATCTATGAGACAGACTGAAGGAAGCACCGCCTGTTTTAATCCTTCCCCGTTTTTATTTTTTTTGGGTCAGTTTTTAAGATTTGTTAATTAAAATTAATGCCTTCCCTCTTTCTTTTCTTTGTAATTATTAATGATCCCGGGAATTAATAAATAGCTTATTATTGTTAATTAACTTATCATTACTAATAAATAACTGTAATTAATTTATAGTATATTAAATATTTTATTGAGCATTTATATATGTAAAAAGAGTTTGCACCGATTTATGAGTTTGCTCGACACTCCACAACAGGATGGATGTAGTCATGTAGTTATGTACTCATTAACACTTAATTTATATTATGAGACTTTAACATTATTTAAAATTGTGTTTGCTTGATGAAAATTAAGTGTTTGAAACTAACTGATTTGATTTTCGCCTCATTCAAGCATTTTTTTGCTCCAACTTCATGTTATCTTGTATAAATGGATGTTAACCCAATAAACATGTTCAATTAATCAGTTATTAAGCTTATCTTTATAAATAAATGAATTATATTTGTGTTTCTACGTGTTTCTATATTTTTTCTGCGTTTTTAATGAGTTTTCAAAACATTTCCGTTTTCGAGCTGACCAAAACAATACTCCGAAACGACATTTTGATCATTGGTAGTATTACAAAATCCTTCAATTGTTCGGTGACATTTTTCCATACTCATTGTATCTTTTAGGAACTGAAATCAAATAAAACGATTGACAGTAGTAGAGAACATAGATGTTTGTATCTCCTGAAAGCTAAAGTTTCTCCTCAGTCTACTTCTAAAGCTTTCTAAGTAGATGGTATTCGGCCCTTTAGCTCCTCAATTAATGGCATAGCCGTTTGGGGCATCCTCATGTGGTGTTTCAGACCATTTTTTTCTTAGGCTAGTGAAGTAATGTAGTAAACAATTTTTATTTGTGATGCTTATGAATTTGTCAAGTATAAACGTTCATCTTATCTTACTACTTATTTTGCCATTATTCATTTTGATGTGTGGGGGGCCCTTCTCATGTTGTGTCTATTTCTGATTGTTGTTGGTTTGTTACCTTTATTGATTGTTATTCTCGTCTTATTTGGATTTATCTACTATGCAACAAATGTGAAATTTTCTCATGCTTTAGATATTTCCATTAAATGGTGAGTACCCAATTTTGATGTTAAAGTCAAAATTCTTCGAAGTGATAATAGAATTGAGTATATTGATAGGGAATTTCATTCTTACTTCAATGAGAATGGTATTCTGTATCAAACCACTAGTGTCAGTATCCCTGAACAAAATGGTGGTGTTGAGTGGAAAAATCGCCAACTTCTTGAGGTTGCTTGTTCATTGATTTTTACTATAAATGTTCCTCAATCTTTTGGAGAATGTAGTTCTTGGTGCTGTTTATCTTATTAATTGTCTACCTTTAATGTTCTTCAGTTCAAGTCATTTGTTGAGTGTCTCTCTGACTACTTTTCATTTCCTTCTTTTTCTTCTCTTGTTCCAATAGTCTTTGGATGTGTTTGTTTTGTACATGATTATAGACCCTTTGAAGAGAAATTTGACCCCAGGTCTTTGCCATGTATCGTCGTTGGTTATTCTGCCACCCAAAAGGGATATAAAATGTTATCATCCATAGTTTCAGAAAATGTGTTAGTATGGATGTTAATTTTCAAGAATTTGAGTCATTCTTTCCTATTACCCAAACATCTTTTCCAGGGGAGAATGCCCTTATATATGAAAAGATGTTTTTTCAAGAGCCTCTTTTGTAATTGCTTGTTCGATAGAATGTTAGTGAGGGAGAGCAACGAATGGAAGAAAAATGTGATATCAGTGTTCCGCATGGCGGTGTTCACCTTAACAAGGATAATCTAAGGATTTATTCTCAGCGACGTAAAGTATAGATTACCTATGTGCCACTGAATCAATTGAATTCCCCAACTCCAATTCCGACCTTTACTGATTCATCAATTAATGAATCTCCTGCTACTCCTGTTATTGATAATCTAGTTGATGATATCTCTAAGCTTCCTATTGCAGTTGGAAAGGGTGTTCGAGCTTGTATTCAGCATCCTATCTCTAAGAAACAAGGGTGTTCGAGCTTGTTTCAGGTATGACACCAAGATTGGAGGAAATCTTGTCACATGACGAAGTAAGAAACAAGTAGTGATAGCAAGGTATAGTGCGGAGATTGAATATAGAGTAATAACCCATGGAATTTGTGAGCTTATATGGCTTAAATTCAAACATTATTGGGAGATCTGAAAATTTATGATGACGGACCAATGAAACTATATTGTGACAATTAGGCTGCTATCAACATTGTTCATAATCCAGTACAACATGACATAATTGGACATGTTAAAATTGATCACCACTTTATTAAAAAGAAGTTAAACAAGGGTTTGATTTGTATGTTTTTTGTGAAGTCAGAAAATTAGTTAGCAGACATTTTCATAAAGGAGCTTAGTAGCAAGTTTTTTCACCACATCATTTACAAGTTGGACATGAGGGATATTTATACACCAACTTAAGGGAGATTGTTATGTTATATGTTGTTTCTAGCTTAAGGTGTTTTAGTAATTTGTGAATATATATAAAAGTTGGGTATAGTTGTGTAACCTAACATTCTACTCTATTCTCATATTCTTCTTCTTTAAACCCTAACGACTTGATAATCTAACTGTTATCTACTATGAAACACGAACACTCTCAAGAAGGTGATGTATTCATGTCTGACACTGACACTCTTCAGATACTCTTGGACAAGTGTCTGATATTCTTTTATCCGTGTCCATAATTAAATGATAGAGTTTTAATTTCAGACACGTGTCCAACACTTCTTTGGTAATGTGTTCAATACTTCTTTAGACCGTGTTTACTACTAAATAATAAACATGTGTTGGCAGGTGATGAACAAAGCTTAAAAATTTTACTAAAGTATCTTATATTATGTGAGAACATATAATTACCAAAGATTACACATGTTAAAATTGTACTTAAAATATAATAATAAATGAAAAAGATGCATGAAAGTTTTAAACAAAAGAAATTGAGAAAATGAGAGTAATCATTTAACTTATATATGTTGGGTGCAAGTTGTCTACAAAAATAATTATAATTATTTGACTATTATGATGTTTTAGTCTAAAATTTTTCACTAGATAACTAAACATAATATTTATTTGTCATAAAGTACTGAATTTTTTATGAATAGTATATCATTAACACTATAGTGGTGACAAATTATATAATTTAATATATAACACAATTATTTGTAGCGTGTTCTTAATGTGTCTGTGTCTTACTTTTTTTAGAAACGTCATGTCTGCGTGTCATGTCATATTCGTGTCTCGTGTATATGTCCATGCTTCTTAGGTTGTCTATAGTTCAAAGTTAGGATTTTGGGTTTTTTGGATTAGATCATTAAATTTAGGGGGCTTTGTGGTTTAAATTGTTATATGGGGACTTTCTGATTTTTCCCCTTTGCTTCACCTATGTTTTTGCTAGCACTACACCCCTGCGAGGCATGGGATTACAATGCCTCTCTTCCCTCTCCCACTCCCTTTTCCTCATCCTTCCCCTATTCTCCTAACACCACCACTTAGGGAAGTTAGATAGAGAATAATAGGAAGTTATGGGGCGATAAACTAGATTTAAAAGAAAAACTTTAAATGATTGGTGCTTAGTATAATGGAGTGGAACAATGGTTATATGGGCCATGTGGTAGAATGTAAGTGGAGGAAACCTTTCTATTGTATTTTAATAATTCAAAATTCTGAAAATTAAAATCATTGGGAGGCCAGTCTTCCCTATCCCTCTCCCTCGTAACCAGATCAATCATCAAGTGGGGTGCTCCCTTCTCACAAGACCTCCCACAATATTGTCACTGCATTAGAGTTTAACTACCAAGATTGGGATGTATCTTAATATCTCTTCCAGAAGGGGAAATAGTAATTTTGAGATGCATAGCCTTTGAAGAACGTATAATTAAAAAGCCACTAAGAACAGGGACCATATTATTTCATCTTTGAATAATCGAGAACAAAAGGCTTCTTTTATTAAAAGTCCTAGATGAGCCATTAGAAGAATAGACAAAAGGATAAGCTAAACCAGCACTAGTTGATGAAAACACCTAATCATTCTGATATATCATTGAACGGGCAGCCTCCCCACTGCATGGATAGATCAATTTAATTCCTCTGCTGTGACTTCTTTCTGGAAAGTCTAGTCCCTTGGGCTCTCTCACTGTTGTATAATTTATTTGTCTGTACTCGTAGAGATTCCTGATTTCTGTATGAAAAGCATGTTATTTCTTGATGCTTCAGTTCATATTCATTAAGCAATCTTTCACTGACACTATTGAGAACTAGATACTGTAATTTAAGGCATACCCAGAATTTTTTATTTTCTTATCATGGTTCTTGTGCTAATGTTGTTCTAACTTGCTGCTTTTGGCTTTTTTGTTGCAGGATTGATGCGTTTTTGAACAGTGATCAGAATCGTTGCGCCTGTAAACTTTTTTCTGCTTACACTGATGGTGATGTTGAAGAAATTAAACGTGTAGCTCAGTCAAGCGCTATATCTAACCTTGACCACATGGTATATCTTTTGAACCATTTATTTATTTTTTGTTGTGGGGTACATGAACTTATTTTTTTTATCATGATGTAAATTCTGGGTTTCAGTTTGCTTTTGAATGCGAACAAAGCTTGAAATTGTTTATTACCAAAATGATCAACCTGGATGATCTAAAAATATAGGTTTTGCAAAAGCTAAAGCACAAGTGACTAGTATCTGAACAGAATTCAGCCTAGAAATGTTCCAAACAGTTAGATAACACTAAATAGAAAGGACCCTTTGATCTCACTGCACAATTGTACTACTCATTCTGAATTTCATGCTCTTGTTTGTGGGCTTTTTGGGGTCATTTGCCCTGCTTTTTTCTATTTAAAAAGAAATCAAAATGCAGCTTTGAATTGGATGATTATGGTTCATTTCATGCGTGGCACTACCCATCATTTTTTGTCTCTGTAGTTGACAAAACTCAAACCAAAACCGGTCTATTTTTGCTGTCTTGTACGGAACAAGACATTCTGAATGACCACATTCATGTCTTGCTAGTTATACTGCATTCCTGCTGTCCTAAGTGTAAGAACGTGAGTATGCATATTTCAACATGGAATTTTCCAATTTTGGATATGTAATATTTTGAATTGGTCCTTTGACGTATTCATCAGGTTTGGTAATTTATCCGTATTTCTGCTTTTTTGAACTGCTTGTAGTTTATGTCAATATTTAATTTCTTTCTTAAGTTATTTTCCTTTGAAACTAAAGAGTAGTAGTCGCTACTCATTTTATAGGGCAGCTATACTGACAATAACATACAAGTATTCTTTTTTATTTTAATAGATAAAATATCATTGAAAATACCAAATGATTGCAAACCAATGCACACAGGAAGTACTCCAAGAACATAGAAAGCAAAGCTATAGACAAAAAGACAAGTATCAACTGCCAACTCTCACATCTAAACTCTCCACACTACTCTAAGGATTCTTTACACATTTAACATCTGGCAGTCTCGTTCTACAATTCTGTTCCTTAACAATCACACAATGTCATGCAATTAAGCAATAGACCATCCGGCCAAAGCAAAACTTGTTCCATCCAAATTTCTTAAATGATATTTCCAAGGACTATGATAAAAGTTTGAAAGGATCTTTGCCTGTTTCTGGAGAGGTGAGTGAGGCTAGGGCAAGCAAAGAGAATAGCTACACAGGATAGACACAAGTAAGGCATGTGGAAAGAGTAGGGAGGAGATATCACCTGCAAGTCCTACTTATTGATATATTGTCAAACAGAATTTTGATTTTTGAACATGTCCAAGATTAATCAATCAGCTCACCCATTTTTATTACTTTTCTGATTGTAGCTTGGTTGTTCCTTTATTCCCTTTTTTATTAGTCCTTCACATGGTTCTTTCTTAGCGGGGTATATCAGTCTTATATTCTTTAGCTTTATGAGGTGCATTGCATGCCATTTTTGAGGTACGATACTATTCCCACCATCTTACATGGCATCATCTCATGAGTGACATGCTCATGTACCAGGGAGCTCCACCCTGACATGACAAAAAAATTCTGGGTCAAAGCTGACCAAAATATATGCCTTCTGTTTTATAACACAGAATTAATTGTGCATATTAAAAAATAAAGTTATACTTTGAACTGTGTGCACGCCATCAATGTACTGTTAATTCTCCCCATCACAAACCAGAAAATCCTTGTCCCTTAATGCCCCTCATAGCCCATTACTGGGTATGGTAGTTAACTTAGAGGGCTCAAAGTTGCCATTTAGCTCATTCTCAGATGTAGCTTGTCATATGTTCTGCAATTGTTAGTTGTGCTAAAACCCTTTTATGGATAAACATTACTCAGAAAACACTTGTACGAGTCATTTGGTTCATTACAAATTCAAGGTCTATTAAACTATAGCATTACAACAGTCCTTGTCCTAATTTGGGAAAGTTGAGAATATATTAAAGCTCTTCGTCGCTCCTCCTAAAGCTATGTGTCATTGTCACTATTTTTTGTCTTAATAGCACTGGTCTGTACAACCCTGCAACAGATTAGGACTGGTGACTTTAGGATGTCTGACTGCTTTTGATACCAAAGGTTGATTGTCATTGGTTTGAAGTATCTACCCGTGTGACAATCTTGTGTGCCTTATTTCTATATTGAGCCTCTTGATACATAGTTGCCTCACTTGGTGGCTTTTAAAAGGAGGTATGAGGGCAAGGCTCTCTTGCCCTCCTGATCGAAAATACTTATCCCTTTGGATTGTAATTGTTTTTATTATTATTAGAAGGTAGTTAATTGTGTTTTTGATGAAGTGAATAGTTTTACTGAAATTATGTGGCTGCAGATCATTAGGCTGGCGAGGAAACTGCCCACAGGCGATGTGAGTGCACTGAAGACTGATGCAGCCGAGGGAGAACCACTCGATGAAGATGACCTCACTTAAGCGTCTTATTTTGATATAGCTGCTGACTTGCTTCATGTGTGAATAATGCAAACATATGAAAACTGGTTTGAGTGTGCAATTTTATCTCATCATTCAAAAGGTTTAGGATGTGGAGAGAGAGAGAGAGAGAGAGAGAGAGAGAGAGAGAGAGAGTGTGTGTGTGTGTACTTATGTGTACAAGAATTAAAGACTGATTTGGCAACAAGTTTAATTTGGGCAATGCTTGGCTATCATTCGAATGATTTAGGGCACAGAAAGAGGGAGAGTTGTACATGTTTAATTTGATTTTATGTTTGGCTGGTTCTGTGTGGATGATTGGACATGATTCAAATTCAGAAAATTATGAAAGTGATAAGAGTTGGACTAATTATTATTATTATAATTTTTTTTTTTTTTGGGGGGGGGGGGGGGGGGGGGAAGAAAAAAA